CTGTCGCTGATGCTAGTTCGTGATTAAAACGCAAACCGTGATTTGTAAACCGAACTCAAAACTCCAACCCGACTCTTCATACTCAACGCCAACTTTTACATGATTACTGACGTCAGTTGCTGACGAGAACTCTATCGGGTGATGACCCGAATGCACAACACTAGTCCGACCCCTATTACGTAAACTTGACCATCTTCGCTTACTACAAAGGATAATTGCACACGTGACGATAATTATGCGGATCACAGATGTTATTCCACCGATATTTTATTGCGTTTTCTTGTTAATAGTTTTTAATAAGTAGGCAGTGTTTCCTGATCGGTCGACAAGTCGTGGAAAGTCGTCAGTCTGGTACACTATCACCGGTCGATCGAACATATCGTTCAGTCGCACAGCACGATGCGAGCGCGATTGTGACAAAGAAGATGTGGCGCAACGTCCGCGATACACACGCGATCCGCCGACAGCCAGACAACAAACCGACTGTCTACTGAGGACCGGTGGTCCGATCAGATGCACTCAGTCGCACTGACAACACGAGTGGAGTGTTTGGTCTGTCCGAACTGCCAGTGTGTGCATGTCACGAGGTGTGGTTTCGCCACACGTGACTGAGTGTACAGGGTCTTTCAAAAGCGCCCATCCCGGGCGGGACTCGAACCCGCAACCTCCGGAATAGAAGTCCGACGCGCTATCCATTGCGCCACCGGGACGCCACAGATACGCTACTTGCATTCACCACAAACAACACACCATACAAACAAGCAAACACGCATCCACCAACACAAACACCAACAACAACACCACAACCACTTCCACTACTACACCTACACCAACACAACTCACTGTCTACACACTGACCACACTATCATCAATCAACGCATACTTCACTACTTCACTACTCGACCGAAATATCTGTCAAAATATACTTCCGATCGCACAGCGTGCGTTGCCATTCGTCTTGTCACCAGTCTATAAGTATTTATACGTGTGTAGATTCACACACTGTCGCTTTCCATGTCAGCTACAACAATCAGTCTAATCCGACCCTCAAACCGCATGACATCGACCAATGACGACGAGTGATCATTGTCGGTCCACATGTACTGATGGCAGACAGTTTTGTGTGTGTCAGCAGTGCACATTCACCGTGTGTGCAGACGTTGGTGATGGTGGCTTGAAGAACACCTCGAACTGTGTCGGCATCCAGCTATCCACGTGTTTCCGCAACCCCACCAAACCACATTAGTCTGGCATCGATACCTGACAGAGAACAGAACCCACTGTCGTGTGCATTTCGTCGGTCGGTAAAAGTATACGATACTGACGATCCACAGTTAAACAATCACAATTACAATAACGCATCATGCATTTTGCGCGAAATTCAAGGTACAACGATAAAAAAGTAAGTGTAAATTGTTGAAATGCTTGAAATCAACAAAAATGTCCATTACGCAACCAGAAGTAGAATTTAAGACAGCTCTCAAGCTAAATTACAAAACATACCTGCTCCTAAGGCAGATTGTGTGTGAAAGTGCCTGATGTGATTCAACGCACAGTCAGGAGTGTTTAGTGCAGTTGGATAATATTCCCGCCTTTACAACGCTTACTGTGAATCTCAACCCTGTGATTCTTAAGCTTGTGGACAGAACGGTGGCAAGGCATTGCGCTGTCGCTGATGCTAGTTCGTGATTAAAACGCAAACCGTGATTTGTAAACCGAACTCAAAACTCCAACCCGACTCTTCATACTCAACGCCAACTTTTACATGATTACTGACGTCAGTTGCTGACGAGAACTCTATCGGGTGATAACCCGAATGCACAACACTAGTCCGACCCCTATTACGTAAACTTGACCATCTTCGCTTACTACAAAGGATAATTGCACACGTGACGATAATTATGCGGATCACAGATGTTATTCCACCGATATTTTATTGCGTTTTCTTGTTAATAGTTTTTAATAAGTAGGCAGTGTTTCCTGATCGGTCGACAAGTCGTGGAAAGTCGTCAGTCTGGTACACTATCACCGGTCGATCGAACATATCGTTCAGTCGCACAGCACGATGCGAGCGCGATTGTGACAAAGAAGATGTGGCGCAACGTCCGCGATACACACGCGATCCGCCGACAGCCAGACAACAAACCGACTGTCTACTGAGGACCGGTGGTCCGATCAGATGCACTCAGTCGCACTGACAACACGAGTGGAGTGTTTGGTCTGTCCGAACTGCCAGTGTGTGCATGTCACGAGGTGTGGTTTCGCCACACGTGACTGAGTGTACAGGGTCTTTCAAAAGCGCCCATCCCGGGCGGGACTCGAACCCGCAACCTCCGGAATAGAAGTCCGACGCGCTATCCATTGCGCCACCGGGACGCCACAGATACGCTACTTGCATTCACCACAAACAACACACCATACAAACAAGCAAACACGCATCCACCAACACAAACACCAACAACAACACCACAACCACTTCCACTACTACACCTACACCAACACAACTCACTGTCTACACACTGACCACACTATCATCAATCAACGCATACTTCACTACTTCACTACTCGACCGAAATATCTGTCAAAATATACTTCCGATCGCACAGCGTGCGTTGCCATTCGTCTTGTCACCAGTCTATAAGTATTTATACGTGTGTAGATTCACACACTGTCGCTTTCCATGTCAGCTACAACAATCAGTCTAATCCGACCCTCAAACCGCATGACATCGACCAATGACGACGAGTGATCATTGTCGGTCCACATGTACTGATGGCAGACAGTTTTGTGTGTGTCAGCAGTGCACATTCACCGTGTGTGCAGACGTTGGTGATGGTGGCTTGAAGAACACCTCGAACTGTGTCGGCATCCAGCTATCCACGTGTTTCCGCAACCCCACCAAACCACATTAGTCTGGCATCGATACCTGACAGAGAACAGAACCCACTGTCGTGTGCATTTCGTCGGTCGGTAAAAGTATACGATACTGACGATCCACAGTTAAACAATCACAATTACAATAACGCATCATGCATTTTGCGCGAAATTCAAGGTACAACGATAAAAAAGTAAGTGTAAATTGTTGAAATGCTTGAAATCAACAAAAATGTCCATTACGCAACCAGAAGTAGAATTTAAGACAGCTCTCAAGCTAAATTACAAAACATACCTGCTCCTAAGGCAGATTGTGTGTGAAAGTGCCTGATGTGATTCAACGCACAGTCAGGAGTGTTTAGTGCAGTTGGATAATATTCCCGCCTTTACAACGCTTACTGTGAATCTCAACCCTGTGATTCTTAAGCTTGTGGACAGAACGGTGGCAAGGCATTGCGCTGTCGCTGATGCTAGTTCGTGATTAAAACGCAAACCGTGATTTGTAAACCGAACTCAAAACTCCAACCCGACTCTTCATACTCAACGCCAACTTTTACATGATTACTGACGTCAGTTGCTGACGAGAACTCTATCGGGTGATAACCCGAATGCACAACACTAGTCCGACCCCTATTACGTAAACTTGACCATCTTCGCTTACTACAAAGGATAATTGCACACGTGACGATAATTATGCGGATCACAGATGTTATTCCACCGATATTTTATTGCGTTTTCTTGTTAATAGTTTTTAATAAGTAGGCAGTGTTTCCTGATCGGTCGACAAGTCGTGGAAAGTCGTCAGTCTGGTACACTATCACCGGTCGATCGAACATATCGTTCAGTCGCACAGCACGATGCGAGCGCGATTGTGACAAAGAAGATGTGGCGCAACGTCCGCGACACACACGCGATCCGCCGACAGCCAGACAACAAACCGACTGTCTACTGAGGACCGGTGGTCCGATCAGATGCACTCAGTCGCACTGACAACACGAGTGGAGTGTTTGGTCTGTCCGAACTGCCAGTGTGTGCATGTCACGAGGTGTGGTTTCGCCACATGTGACTGAGTGTACAGGGTCTTTCAAAAGCGCCCATCCCGGGCGGGACTCGAACCCGCAACCTCCGGAATAGAAGTCCGACGCGCTATCCATTGCGCCACCGGGACGCCACAGATACGCTACTTGCATTCACCACAAACAACACACCATACAAACAAGCAAACACGCATCCACCAACACAAACACCAACAACAACACCACAACCACTTCCACTACTACACCTACACCAACACAACTCACTGTCTACACACTGACCACACTATCATCAATCAACGCATACTTCACTACTTCACTACTCGACCGAAATATCTGTCAAAATATACTTCCGATCGCACAGCGTGCGTTGCCATTCGTCTTGTCACCAGTCTATAAGTATTTATACGTGTGTAGATTCACACACTGTCGCTTTCCATGTCAGCTACAACAATCAGTCTAATCCGACCCTCAAACCGCATGAC